AAACCTTGTTTTTAAGTTCTGAACACTTTACTTCCAACAGTCTGCTAGTAGTCATCCCTCCTCAAATTTCCGAGAGGCACCTTGGCATGTCCAAAACAAAACCCATTTTCTCCCTCTATATGTATTCATCTTCCTGTATTCTCCATCCTTTCTTCATTTAACAAACAAGTATGTACCAAGACCTATGACAGACACCGAGAATACAAAGACATTAACTGTTCAAAAGGAACTCACAGACTAGGAAGAGACAACGAAAATAATAATATAATCCAATTCCTATAAAGATTGAGATATGCACAAGGTGCTAAAGAAGCATAAGAATAGAAAGGGGGAATCGGGGAAGATACATTGGAGGATTTAATGCCTAACTGGAAACTTAGCGTTAACCAGAGATAACCAGCTCGAAAAAGGAACATGGTATCAACAGGCTATCAGAAGCAATTTAGAACATAAAATACAAAGCAAGGAGTGGCAGCCATAATCCAGATCACACAGCACCTTAAAGGCCATATTAACAAACTTAAACTTCATCCTGAGTGCAACTGGGAACTTCAAGAGTTTTAAGCAAGTGAATGATGTGGTTAAGGCTCCTATATCAAATATTTCTGGCAGTTGTGTGGAAGGATGAAGGTTAGAGGCAGTTGTAAGGCTAGCTGAACAGTTCAGGCAAGAGGAAAGCTTGCACAAGGGGCAGTGGTGGTAAGGTTAGAAAGAGACATGAGAAAAAATAATTAGGAAACTAAGTGGGTGGGCCTTCCTAATTAAATGGATATTCAGAGGCCACAGTCAAGAAGGAGTAGTGATTTAAGATGGCTCTTGGCGAAGTTTCAAGCCTGGCTGAAAGAGCACCCACAAATCAATGAGTAAGTACAGAAATCCAACAGAAAAACAGGCAAAGGCTATAATCAGGTAATTCACAGAAAAATAAAAGGCCATTAAACACATTTTAAAAGCTCAGTTTCACTGGTAATCAGTTCAGTGCAAATTACAGCAATGAGATACCATCCCCACCCCCAACTCCCCCAGAAAAAGATACATAAAATTTTTAAAGATCAATGATATTTGATGCCAGTGAAAGTGTAGGAATAGAAATATCTATACAATAATAGTGGAGCATAGCTTGAAACACCCTTTGGGGATGCAATTTAATAGTATATATCAACACTTAAAGCACACATTCCCTTTGAACCAAAAATTCTACTTCTACAAATGTAGCCTTCACACTTATAAAGAAAGCTCTAGATTATAGATGACTTAAACAAGAATATGGACACAACCTAAACATCCATCCTTAGGGACAGATTAAACCAATTATGGTAATCCATACCACAGAACAGTACAACACGACCTAAAATATATATGAAGCAAAATGGAAAGGTTTCCAGAATATACATATTTTAAGGGTAAAAATAAATCACAGAACAATATTCACAATATATTCAAATTTACGTTTAAAAAAATAAAAGCCCATATATGTCTGTGAATGCACAGAAAAAAGTCTAGGAGAACACAAATAAAACTTCTATTTGGAGAGGAGGGTGGAAAGGAGGAAAGGATGGGACAGAAAAAAAGACACGCATTTTTTTACTCTAGCTAAGTGCATATTTTGATATCCCCTCTCCAAACATGAATTACTTTCATAATTTTTAAAAATGAAAAACATAATGTGTGTGACATGTGGCATGTAACTAGCTAACAAAGCAATCTGATAATAAGTAAAATAAATCCGATGGCTTTTCTAAAGCCACAGCCCAAGCTAATAGTGTTTAATAAAGACTACTACTAAACATCTCTTTTGTTACTATTCTCACATATGTTTTACACATTGCCCAAAGGGCCTGTGTCCCTTGCTGGGAGGTGGTAGGGCAAACCCACTTTCAGGCACTCTTGCTACTCAAAGCAGCACTAAAGAAGTTTTCTTTGCAATGCAAGAATCATATTAATTGATGTTTTACACATCCTTATGTCTTTAAGGTTCTCCAAAACCTTTTAAAACCTTAGCCAAAGCAGTCTTGAAAAAGAAGAACAAAGCTGGAAGTATCACAATCCCAGATTTCAAGATATACTATAAAGTTGTAGTAATCAAAACAGTATGGTACGGGCCAAAAATAGACACACAGATCAATGGAACAGAGTCCAGAAATAAACGCACACTTATATGGTCAACTGATTCACAACAATGGGGAAAAGACAGTCTCTTCAACAAACGGTGCTGGGAAAACTGGACAGCTACACACTATAACAACAAAACTGGACCACTTTGCTACACAAAAACAAACTTGAAATGGATTAAGAACCTAAATGTGGGGGCGCCTGGGTGGCTCAGTCGGTTAAGCATCTGCCTTCGGCTCAAGTCATGATCCTGGGGTCCCGGGATGGAGCCCCACGTCCGGCTCCCTGCTCAGCGGGAGTCTGCTTCTCCTTCTGTCCCTGACCCTGCTCGTGCTCTCTCTCGTTCTGTCTCTCAAATAAATAAAATCTTAAAAAAACAAAAAACAAGAAACCTAAATGTGAGACCAGAAACCATAAAATTCCTAGAAGAAAACACAGGCAGTAATTTCTTAGACATTGGCCACAGAAACATTTTTCTATGTGTCTCTGTTTTTCTATCTTTCTACTTTTCTATATGCCTCCTCTGGAAAGGGAAGTAAAAGCAAAATTCAACTACTGGGACTACACCAAAAGAAAATGCTTCTACACAGTGAAGGAAACCATCAACAAAACAACAAGGCAACCTATTGAATGGGAGAAGATATCTGCAAATGATATATCTGATAAGGGGTTAATGTTCAAAATATATAAAGAACTTAGAGAACTCAACACCCAAAAAACAAATAATCTGATTTAAAAATGGGCAGAGAACCTGAATAGCCATTTTTCCAAAGACGACATCCAGATGGCCAACAGACACATGAAAAGATGCTCAACATCACTCATCATCAGGGAAATGCAAATCAAAGCCACAATGAGATATCACTTCACACCTGTCGGAATGGCTAAAGTCAAAAAGACAAGAAATAACAAATGTTGGCGAGGATAAGGAGAAAAAGGAACCCTGGTGCACTGTTGGTGAGAATGCAAACTGGTGCAGCCACTGCGGAAACCAGTATGGAGGTTCCTCAAGAAATTAAAAATAGAATTACCCTATGATCCAGTAATTCCACTGCTGGGTATTTACCCAAAGAAAATGAAAACACTAATTTGAAAAGATAAATGCACCCGTATGTTTACTGCAGTATTATATACAACAGCCAAAATATGGAAGCAACCGAAGTGTCCACCCATCAATGAATGGATAAAGATGTGGTATATACACATATATATACAATGGAATATTAGCCATGAAAAAGAGATCTTGCCATTTGCAACAACACGCATGGACCTACAGAGTAAAATGCTAAGTGAAATAAGTCAGTCAGAGAAAGACAAATGCCATGTGATTTCACTCATGTGGAATTTAAGAAACAAAACAAAACAAAGAAAAAAGAGACAAACAAAAAAACAGACTCTTAAAGAGAGAACAAACTGGCAGTTGCCAGAGGGGAGGTGAGTGGGGAGAGGGGTGAAATAGATAAAGGGGATTAAGAGTCCACTTACCTTGACATAAGCACTGAGAAATGTATAGAATTGTTGAATCCCTTTTTTAAAAAAAAACTACAATATTTACCATTCTTGACATGAATAACTGTAATAAAATTTAAGTGACTGAAAAAGAATCAGGACAGAGGGTGAGAAAGAAATATTTTGACCCATAATTTAACTAAAACTTGGCTTTTATTCACTGTTTCTTAACATAGTGTACTCTTTCAACATTTTCTCAAGAGCATAAACTATCTTCGGAATTTTCCCTCTTTGTTATATAACAAATATTTCCTTATAACAAATGCTTTCTGATGACTGTTTTTAACATTCTTTTACTTCTGAAACCAAATCTAAGTAACTTTCAAGTGGTTTTTTGGCCCATCATCATTTTCTCCAATGTTGAAGGATGACTAATACAGCAAAGTGAGGGGAAGCTTCACTTCTGAAGGTAAATAAAAAATAGCAATGAATATTTGCTTCCAGTAGAGCACTCCTTTCATATCCAGGGTGAAGAAAGAGGGTACAAATTCATTTTGACTAGTGGGTGATTATAATTGAGACGTTTTTACGACTTGCTGTTATGGGCTGAAGCGTGTCCCCACCCCTGCCATATTCATATTTAAATCCTAACCCCAGTACCTCAGAATGTGATTTCATTTGGAGACAGGGTCTTTAAAGAGGTAATTAAGTTAAAATGAGGTCATCAGGGTGGGCCCTAATCCAATGACTGGTATCCTCATAAGAGGAGGAAAGGAGGACACAGACACACAGATCATGTGAAGACACAAAGAGAAGACAGCCAAGGAGAGAGGCCTCAAAAGAAACTAAGCCCGCTGATACCTTGATCTTGGACTTCTAGCATCCAGAGCTGTAAGAAAATAAATTTCTGTTGTTTAAGTCACTGTAATGAACTGAATGATGTCCTCCCAAATTCATAAATTGAAGCCCTAATCCCCAGTGGGGCCCAGAGATAGGGCCTTTAAGGAGGCAATAAAGGTTAAGTGAGGTCATAAGGGTCAAGTCCTAACCCAAAAGGACTAGTGTCTTTATAAGAGGAAGAGAAACCAGAGATACCTCTCCTTCCTCACAGGCACAGAGAAGAGGCCGTGTGAGGACAGAGCAAAAAGGCGGCCATCTATAAGCCGAGGAACGAGGCCTCACTAGAAACCAATCCTGATGGCACTTCGATTTTGGACTTATAGCTCCCAGGATTGTGAAAAAATAAATTTCTATTGTTTAAGCCACCCAGTCTGTGGTACTTTGTTAGGGCAGCTCTAGCAGATTAATACACGTGTCAATCCAATAATTTAAAAAGAATTTTTTTTCCATATCGGAGAAGACAAAGCATTTAAGTGCCCCTATTAAAACAACAAAACTACAGCCCAGGTGATGGAAGCTTTTTATAACATCTTTCTTACCTTCTTAAAGAATGTCGCAGGTGCCATTTCAGATCCATTCAGTGTTCGTAAGAGGAACATTGGCCAAGATGACGCATTCATCTGATACCCTATTTTATGAAATAAATCAGCATGAAAAAGTCTCCCTGTGATATTACAGCAAGTTGATATAAAAAAGAGGTTTTGTTTACCACTCTTCTCCAGAGAATGACTTTCTTATTGAGAAACTAAGGACATAGCTAAGAGAAGCGGATGCACCCTCCAATCAGTTCTACTGTACCCACTGTACTACTTGGCAGCAATGCTACAGTAGGGGTAGAAACTCTCATTTTAGAGAAGCCACTAGCTAGAGGTCACCAACATACATATATGCACGTTAGGAATGGGCCATAATACTAGGGGTGATCCAAGCCAAAACCCACAAGAGCTTCCAGTCCCCACCAACAGCCACACAAGCACGGCAAAGGCTGCAAAAGACTTCCAGCCCTTCTTTTTCCTTAGAGTCCCTGCCTTATTTCCTTTCAGAAAGACAGTTTCTTGTGAAACTCAGCAAACGTACACTTATGATGCATTTCACTGTATATAAATTTCACCTCAAAATTTTAAAAAAACTGTAAATAAACACTGAACTCTAGTTAATGATATGCATGCTAAAGTATTTAGGGGAAATGTACTAACATTAAAAACTTCCTCTGAAATACATTTAAAAATAAGATGGATTGATGAATCGATAGAAAGGCAGATAGACAAGAGATAAAGCAAGCATGTAAAATGACAATGGTAGAACCTAGGTGATGGGTATGTGGGTATTCACTGTAAAGTATTTTCACCTTTTCTGTACGTTTGAAATTTTTCATACAATGTTAGGAAAAAAGATAGCTCTCACTTTAGCAATCTTTACACACACTAAACAAGATCTTCTCTTAGAATTTGTATCAGATGAAATCAAAATACACTCAACAGGTGTCTTTAGAGATCTCATCAATTAATAGTGAATATCACAGCATCTGGCACATGCAACAGGGGGTAGAGGTCTGCTAGTTGTATTGCTTTATTGCAATCCGTTTCATGCAACACTTGCCTGCCCTGATGCCAGAATTAAAGAGAACTTGCCAGCATTCCTGATGGATACATGCATTAAGATAGGGAGGCACACCAATCACTGGCAATCACTGGCAATAGGTCCATCAGTAGGATTAACCAAGCAAAAAAGTTTAGACAGAAAGTCATCCTATAATAATCCTATACCAAAATCCCCTTAATCTGAGGGGGGAAAAATTGGGGGGAAAGGGGATTTATTATATACTCCCTTATAATAAATCAGTATTATTAGTGATATCTAATAAATAATCATCCACAAAATGGATCTGCCACATACATTGTGGTTAGAATATTGCATAAAAACAATTCTCTGGTCCTTATGCCTTTCTCTTAACCCCCATCTTATCCTATTACATCATGTAATCATCATCATTGCCATCATCATCATCATCTTAATTCGACATTTTTCTTATTTCTTTAATTGCCTAGGGACACCTAGGTGGCTCAGTCGGTTAAGCAGCTGCCTTCAGCTCAGGTCATGATCCCAGGGTCCTAGGATCGAGCCCCGCATTGGGCTCTCTGTTCAGCAGGGAGTCTGCTTCTCCCTCTCCCTCTGCCTGCTGCTTCCCCTGCTTGTGCTCTCTCACTCTCTGTCAAATAAATAAATAAAATCTTTTAAAAAAAATTCTTTAATTGCCTAAAGTCAAACATCGATTAAAAGGCCAAAAATAGATGAAAGTGCATATAAAAACTCAAACACAGGTAAAACTAATCTACAATGTTAGGAAGTCTAGACAGTGGTACCTTTGGGAATGGGAGGTTTATCACAGGATCAGCAGGAGTGGGGCTTCTGGGGTGCTGATAATATTCTGTTTCTTGATTTGGGTGACAGTTATATGGATGTGTTCATTTATAAGCTGTACACTTACAAACTGTATACTTTTCTGTTTGCATGCTAAAACTTTAAAAAAGCTTTTAAATAATAACCTTTAAGGTTTAAATAACCTTTCAAAAAAGAAAACCAAGTTGTGTTATAAAATGGAAACTAAACTATTCAAAGCACCGAATGAGCAAATTGGCAAAAATTGTCTATTTTTAATATGTACTACCAAAATATATATTAATCAGCATGTACTGCTATGTATTTCATATTTTTAATTAGAAAACTCTAAAAGTCATTTGAAAAAAGAATGATCGTAAATCTGGCTATGTGTTTGAAATGTTGGCAATCACAGTAGTTAATGCTTCCTTTAAACAAAATTCCAAAAACCTATTACCATTTGTAAACAGAAATCAAATCCAAAGAGGGAAGCACTATGCCTTAGGTTTACACTTCTATCTCTTACAGAATTCTGTAGGATATAAGAGATTATTTAAAACATAAACGATATGAAGAAAGAAAAGGAGGCAAAAGGCAGAAAAGACACACACCCGAAACCACCTTCTTGGAATAACATATCTCTAATTAGTTATTTTTTAATATTTTTAAACCAAATTAGGAATAATTAACAATTAGAGCAAGAAAGGTATAAAAATATATTGCTAAGAGAGTGGTAATTATTATATCTTAAATTTTGGGTTCTGAGGAAATTTCTAACTATGGTAGGAAACAAAAAGAAATCCATTCTCTCATTGTGCTTTACACTAGAGAATTTTCATTTTCAGCATTGTAAAGAAGAAACAAAAACTAATATCTACCATCACTCAAGACTATAGAAGTAATAGGGACGCCTAAGCGGCTCAGTCAGTTAAGCATCTGCCTTCAGCTCAGGTCATGATCCTGATCCCAGAATCCCAGGATCAAGCCCCACATCACATCGGGCTCCCTGCTCAGCAGAGAGTCTGCTTCTCCCTCTGCCCCTCACCCCGCCCTCATGCTCTCTCTCAAATAAATAAAATCTTAAAAAAAAAAAAAGACTGTATAAGTAATAAAGGAAATCACTTATTTTCTATAGAATAACAGAGTACATCTAAAAATATTTGGGGGGGCAGGCTTTTTTTTTTTTTAAGATTTTATTTATTTATTTGACAAAGAGAGAGAGTACAAGCAGGGGGAGCAGTAAGCTGAGGGAGAGGGAGAAGCAGGGAGAGGGAGGAACAGGCAGAGGGAGAAGGGCAGGGAGCCTGATGCAGGGCTCGATTCCAGGACCACCCCCACCCCACCCCAGCCCACATCATGACCTGAGTCAAAGGCAGACGCTTAACTGACTGAGCCACCCAGGTGTCCCCAGGGTTTTTGGTTTTTTTAAAGATTTATTTATTTGGGCGGGGGAGTGCACGTGAGCACAGGAGGGAGGGGCAGAGGGAGAGGGAGAAAGAGTCTCAAGCAGACTGCGCTGAGAACAGAGCCCAATGTAGGGCTCGATCTCATGACCCTGAGATCATGACCGGAGCTGAAACCAGCAGTTGTATGCTTAACTAACTGTGCCACCCAGGCACCCCTGGAGTACATCTGAATATTAAGAGAGAACAGGGATGGGGCACCTGGGTGGCTCAGATGGTTAAGCGTCTGCCTTTGGCTCAGGTCATGATCTCAGGGTCCTGGGATCGAGTCCCACATCGGGCTCCTTGCTTAGCGGGGAGCCTGCTTCTCCCTCTGCCTCCCACTCCCCCTGCTTGTACTCTTTCTCTCTCTGGCAAATAAATAAATAAAATCTTTAAAAAAAAAAAAGAAAGACAGAGAAAACAGGGATGCCTGGGTGGCACAGTTGGATTTTTGGTTTCCTCCCGGGTCATGGTCTTGGGGTCGTGGGATCAAGTTCTGTGTCGGGCTCTGCACTGAATGCTGAGTCTCTAAAGTTTCTCTCTCCCTCTCTCTCTACCCCTCCCTGCCTTGTGCACACACGGTCTTTCTCTCTTTAAAATAAATAAATAAATCTTTTAAAAATAAATAAATATTAAGAGAGAACAATTCTGCCCAAAACTGGAGTCAAATACTTTTAGCTTTCAAAAACTTGGTCAAAATTGAGAGTTTTGTACTTAAAAACCTTTGCTCATAAAGTTCCAGCAATCTCCTTTTCAAAGATCTAAAGGTACTGACCCCTACCCCCTCACTATGATTTCTTCTCAGTGTAGTTATAATGAAACTTCCAAGTTTGAAACTGGGGTCTGGATGTGGAATCATACCCTTCACCTGGGCTCCCCGCCATGCCAAAAATGCTGAATGGCTCAACAGACAATAATGAGGGAGGAAGTGAGTAACAAATGCTACAAACTTCTCCCCCGGAAGGGTTTCTGAATCTGCATGTGTGACCTAGTAGAGCTGCTTCTGACATTTCAAGTTTGAAGACAGCATATGTCTTGCCCTGGAGTGGAGAACCTTCAGCACACATATGCCACATGTGTACTGACATGAAACTCTGTAACATATGGTACTGAGTTGATCTCTCATACATTCTCCACAATAACCATCTATTTGCAAAAATGCCTAGAAGAGATTTCTAAAAGGCTACTTCAGGGGCATCTGGCTGGCTTGGTCGGTAGAGCATGCGACTTGATCCTGGGGTTGTGAGTTCGAGCCCCACATTGGGTGTAAAGATTACTTAAAAATCAAATCTGAGGCACCTGGGTAGCTCAGATGGTTAGGCAGCTGACTCTTGATTTTGGCTCAGTCCTGATCTTGGGTCATGAGATCAAGCCCCACATGGGGCTTGATGCTCAGTGCAGAGCTCCCTCCCCCTCTGCCCCTCCCCCCGCTCACACACACTTTCTCTCTCAAATAAAAAATAAAACCTTTAAAAAAGTAAAATAAAATCTTAAAAATAAATAAAAGGCCACTTGAAACTTTTTCTACTGAATATTACATTAGTAAGAATATGTTACTTTAAAAATTGTTTATCCTTACCCAGTGGAGGCTGAAGTAAGTCCCCTTCCTTTTCACATGTCCCAATAGGCTGTATGTCTGGAGAATCGACAAGTCTCCAAAAATCATTTCTGTTGTCACTACCATCCAGTCTTAAACGTAGCCTGGCACCAGTAATTCCAATGACCGTGGCTATACATACTGAAGTCATATTGCGAGGGTCATGGGCTTCCAATTTCATACCAACTTTGAAGTCATTAGCTGGTGGAACCTTGGACTATATATGTTACATATGTGTGTGCACAGCACACACACATACACACACACACACACGCAAATAAAGTTTTGTTAAAATGCATCAACTGTAAGAAAAACAAACGGTCAATTATGTTACCAGAATACCTGTGAAATGTTTTAAGTAACAGTCATAGCAGATGGTGAGCAAAAGAACTATAAGGGTCAAGAAAAAGATCTTCTCCAAACCCTTTCCTTGGTTTGACATGCAGCATAAAAACACTGCCCATTGCTGGTCTTATTCCTTTGTCCACTTCCAGGCAACCCAAATACAGCCTATAAAATGTACCCTCAGTGGCTTTCTAAAATAAGAGTCTGATTAGGCCATTCCCCTTGAAATAAACCAATTGGCAGCTCACCACTGCCTAAGTCCAAGTCCTCAATGCAGTTTAAGAGCCCCCACACCTTTAACCTTATTCTCACACTATCACCTCTACCCACTTTGTCCTCCAGCCACTCCATGCTATACCTCAATACTCAGGTTCTTCTACATCTATGTGCCTTTGCTTTGGATGTTCTCTGCCTGGAATATCCTTCCCCTCATTCCAACCATCTCAGATATCACCTCTTCTGTGAGCACTCCCAGTAGAGAGTTATCATACTTTTCATAATTAATTATTTACATGTCTGTCTTTCCCTCCAGATGGACAATCATAAGGGCTTAGTATACCTGACACAGAGTAAATTCTTAATGAATGAACGCAAATAAACCATCTGGCCCTTAAGTGGCATTACCACAATCCCATTATCTCCTCACACTGCTAGAACCTAACAATCACACAGATATCCCTCAACAAATTAACAGTTCACATTAATATATACAACATGTATACAATTTTGGCATACCTGTCTGAAACACTCTGAAGGGGCACTCGAAGATCCAGTCTCTTTCAAGTAATTTTCCCAGTGGAAATCATCTGAAAAAATATATATATATACACAAAATAGGGGGTTTTTCAGTATATATATATACACACTAACTTTTAGGAGTAAAATGGGACTTTAGTTCCGTATCTTGTTTAAAAAGGACTTCCTAAAGAGTGGATTCAAATTTCCTGATCTGCATTTGATTACCAGCATAGAAATAAAAAGACAACTTTCTGATAATAATGGCTCTGATATAATTACACTCCAGATCTTCTCCATGTAATGAGGAATTAGCACAATGATTCTAAAAATGTAGACTCTAAGAACAACTAAAGGATTTTTTTTATAGAGTAATAGCAAATTCTACTCATCTGTCTCTAATATAAATTTATTCAAGACATGTGTATACTCGGGGTGCCTGTTTCAGTTGTTAAGCGTCTGCCTTCGGCTCAGATCATGATCCCAGGGTCCTGGGATTGAGCCCCGCATTGGGGTCCCTGCTCAGTGGGGAGCCTTCTCCCTCTCCCGCTCCCCCTGCTTGTGTTCCCTCTCTCGCTGCGTCTCTGTCAAATAAATAAATAAAATCTTAAAAAAAAAAAAAAGACATGTATACTCAAGACCATTTCATCCAATTAATGTGATGCCACTTCTTTTTTTCATGGAGAACTAAAGGTGTTTAGGAATGTGGTCTAACAGAATCTTACCTCCATAATGCTTTATGGAAAGAAAAAAATCTGAGAACCAGAGTTGCTTCTCAATTGGCTATTAGATCTCCATACATGGTATCAAGAATATGGTGGCAGAACAAAGCAGTAAACCAGTCATCAGTACAGTCATGATATGAATTATTTTAATGATCTATATTTTCTACAAATGCTGTCCCTTCTCTCACTCAGTCTTCATGATATATTACAATGGTATTGAAGGTCATAAAGCAGTGTACTTTGCCTGGCTTGCACCCTTCAATTCAGTGTTCAGTCAGACTGCCAAGGCACTGAGAAAATGACTTGATAGCAGTATCAAAGGTACTATTAATTCATACAAAGCTTTTTTGTTTTTTTTAAAGATTTATTTACTTATTTTAGACAGAGAGAGAGAGAGCGAGCGAGAGAACGCGAGCATGTGCGGGCGTGTGTGCAAGGAGAGGCAGAGGGGAGAGAGAAGCAGACTCCCGGCTGAGTGGGGAGCCCACGTGGGGCTCAATCCCAAGACCCCAAGATCATAACCAACTGAGCCACCCAGGCGCCCCATAATTCATACAAAGTTTAATTCTCTTCAACCATCTATGCTCTTGTTTAATTTCCTCACTATAAAAATACTGGGTTTGACAGATTCCCTTCCTGGGGGAATCCGAATTACCAGCCTCTTATACATCCTTCCAAGGATAGAATACTTATACACACATACACATACACACAAATGGAGTGCTGTTAAATGTTTAACAACCACCTTTCCAGAATATACAAATAAAAAGCCTGACTGGTAGTGTTTGCAGATTTCTATGGCATAAATACTACCACCATGGCTGATCACAAGGTGACAGGGTGAAGTCACCAACTACAAAGCTGGGAAGAGATGTGCACAAGTGGCTCTCCCAAGCTGGTGTGAGCCAGCTTCAGCGTACCACTGTTATGTGTGTTTATGCATTTATATGTGTATGTACACATATTACATATGGTATTAAGCATGCCATACATAACACTGTGCACCCTGCTTTTTTTTTTTAAAGATTTTATTTATTTATTTATTTCAGAGAGAGAATGAGAGATAGAAAGCACGAGAGGGAAGAGGGTCAGAGGGAGAAGCAGGCTCCCCGCTGAGCAAGGAAGCCCCTTGCGGGACTCGATCCCGGGACTCCAGGATCATGACCTGAGCCAAAGGCAGTCGCCCAACCAACTGAGCCACCCAGGCGCCCTGCTTTTTTTAACGATAAATCTAAGAGATTATTCCATTAAAAAAAATACTGGGTTTAATTCTCCTTGTAGATATGAAGCTAGCACTACCACAGTGCTTAATGGCATGCAGGAGAATGTCAAGAATATGGGCTCTGAGGTCGAACCTGCCTTCTTCCAGTCTGGCTCTGCTTCTTACAAGCTATGTGACCTAAGCAAGTCATTTCAGTTTCTCAGCCTCAGTTCCTACCAAATGAGGAAAAGTAATACATACGGTACAAGGTATTTTGAGAATTAAGTGTTGAAGCATACATATGTCACTCAATAAAAGCCATGCATTATTATTCTAAAACTAAAAGTCATAGTTGTGCCTCAATTTATTAATACTGGATAGCTTTGTCAAAAGTGAAAACTGGGGGGCGCCTCGGTGGCTCAGTCGTTAACCATCTGCCTTGAGCTCAGGTCATGATCCCGGGGTCCTGGGATCGAGCCCCGCATCAGGCTCCCTGCTCCGTGGGAAGCCTGGTTCTCCCTCTCCCACTCCCCCTGCTTGTGTTCCCTCTCTCATTGTGTCTCTCTCTGTCAAATAAATAAATAAAATCTTAAAAAAAAAAAAGTGAAAACTGGGGTGCCTGGGTGGCTTAGTCGGTTAAACATCTGCCTTCAGCTCAGGTCATGATCTCAGGGTTCTGGGATCAAGCCCCACATTGGGCTCCCTGATCAGTGAGGAATCTGCTTCTCCCTCTCCCTCTGCCTCTCCCCCTGGCTCATGCTCTCTCCCTCTCTATCTCTCTCTGTCAAATAAATAAATAAAATCTTTAAAAAAAAAAAAAAGTGAAAACCGAGGGGCGCCTGGCTGGCTCAGTCCATAGAGTGTGGGACTCTTGATCTCAGGGTCATGAGTTCAAGCCCCACAATGGGCATGGAGCTTACTTAAAATAAAAAATTTTTAGATATATATTTTGGGGGGCTGTGCCTGGGTGGCTCATTTGGTTAAGCATCTGCCTTCGGCTCAGGACATGATCTCAGGGTCCTGGGATAGAGCCCCACATCAGGCTCCCTGCTCAGCAGGGAGTCTGCTTCTCTCTCCCTCTCCCTCTGTGTATGCTCTCTCTCTCTCTCTCTAGCTCTCTCTCTCAAATAAAAAAATAAAATCTTTTAAAAAAATAAATAAAAGTGAAAATGGAGATCCATGGTTCCAAAATTAACTGACCAGGATATTTTAGTGACCTCCTAAGACTAACCTGACAATCAGGAAACCCAAGGTTCTAACTGAAGCTCTACCATCATATGACCTTGGAGAGCATTAAAAAACGAAGAAAACAGGGGCACCTGGGCGGCTCAGTTGGTTAAGCATCTGACTCTTGGTTTTGGCTCAGGTCATGATCTCAGGGTCATGGGATCAAGCCCTGTGTTGGACTCCATGCTCAGCATGGAGTCTGTTTGGGATTCTCTCCCTCTCCCTCTGCCCTTACCCCCACTTGCTCTCTCTGTCTCTCAAATAAAATGTATAAATACTTTTTTAAACCAAGGGTGCCTGGATGGCTCAGTCAGTTAAGCATCTGACTCTGGATTTCAGCTCAGGTCATGATCGGAGTTGTGGGATCAAGCCCCACATTGGGCTCCACACTTAGTGGGGAGTCTGCTGAAGGATTCTCTCTCTCCCTCTCCCTCTGTCCCTCCCCCTGCTCATGTCTCTTTCTCTCTCTCTCAAATAAACGAATCTTAAAAAAAATAAAAAGAACAAAACACGAGTGGAGGGGAAAATCTGACTATGGTATCATTAAGGAGCCAACATCCCAGGAAGAAAGAAGTGTAAGTTGAAGATAATGACAGGGAAACTAAAATCATTTCACAATAATACCTCAAATAAACCAGCTACATTTGTAAAATTTTTCAATGACACTAGAAAAAAATTCACTTAACACAATTTTTTAAATATTTTATCACCACTTGCGTCTGAATGGGCTATAATTTGAGCTAGCAAATCCTTTATACCAGTATTCTGCAATATGACCATTTTCTATCACATTGCTAGCTAATGACCCTATTTAGCATTTAATCATTGGAGCCTTAACTTTTTTTCTTTATTCTTAAGGCAATATTTTCAGTCCCCAAAGCTGTTCAGTTTGGCTGCCCACATGCTGACACCCTACCAATAACATAGGGAAACACACACAGCAACAGGCTTTACTTAGATTTAGATTTGCTTAAATTTAGATTTGACATATCTTCAATAATACCACAGCTGGAATTCCTGAGCAGGAGCCAAAATAGTCAGAAAGTCTTACCCAAACCTGAGGACCCAGTCTGCCTATGCATCTTATCCTCATGGACAAACTGGAGCAGGGGAATGTTATTCTCCCTCAGAAAAGAGGTCTGGCAACTGACAGGTTTGTTCATGAGACAGTTGTACACATATAACCATGTGATCTGATTGTTATTTGCACATGTCCGTGGTCCTTCTTGTTTGCCTTGTACTCTATTCTAGCCATACATTAGCCCAAACACCTTTTGACAAACTGAACATAATCTATATGAGCCACCTTGGTCTTCTCCAGAGTAAATCAGAATCCTAATGTCTCCCAGCAGTGCTAGGCTTGGGTTCAGAGGCTCTGTAAAGAAGATGGGCAAAATATCCAGAGTTGGAAGCTTCTCAGCTGAATGATCAGCACCTACTACTTCATGGCAATTATCACAACTATAACTGGGGATTTGTTTAATGTCAATCTTGCCCCCTAAGCTCAAAGAGGGCAGGAATCATGTTTGTCTTATTCATCACTGGTATTCCATAGAAGGTTGCCAGTATGTGCCAGGCACTGTCCTAGGTACTGTGGACACAGCAGTTAATAGAACAGACAAAAGTCCTGGCTCTCTTGGAGCTCACCTTCTAACGGCCACTGATTTCTAAGATGAGATGTTAGGGTCAGGGCCCTGAGAAATATCCGCAGATGTCTGTAAAATTTGATTAAGTAATCTCATTTTTTCCATCAAGTTTGAGAATTTTGAAAAGTTACTAGTTTCAGTCTTTAAGAATATATTTTTTTAATTTATTTTTATGAAATGTCCAGAATAGCAAATCTATAGAGACAGAAAGTAGATAAGTGGCTGCCTAGAGCTGAGGGAAGGAAGAGGCATTGGGGAAAAACAGGGAGTGACTACTAACTGGATACAGGATTTCTTTTTAGGATGATAAAATGTTCCAAAACGGATTGTGGTGATAGCTACACAAGTCTGTGAATATACCAAGAACCAATGAATTGTATACTTTAAATGGGTAAATTCTATGGTATGTGAATTATATCTCAATAAAATGGTTATATTAAAAAAATAAAACAGAGACGAATTTGTAGGGATGAGGAAGAACATTTTAACCTAATGGCCTCCCTTTCCTTGGAGGGTTTTGGGGGTTGGAGGGAATTGCTGAAGAACAAATAAGGCCAATGGAAAAGGGAGCTAAGGAAGCACTGGAGGCCGAGCCACAGTGAGGAAGAAGAATGATTCCATGTGGATTACTGCTATAGGCAATCTTCCTGTAGGAACAGAAAGTCATAGGTGAACTACCCCAAGAGTGGGGCTGGCAGGACAGGTACAACAGAAAAACAAGTGGCAAAAGGTTTGCCTGGAAAACTCTGATAAACACAGTAAGTTTGTTATAGTTATTTTTTTATTCAGCTTTTTGTGTGCATATGACTAATGTTTTTGTTTTCCTTAAAAGCAGGTACAGATCCTATCTCCTGAGTCTCTGATGCAGTGCTATACACTTGCTGTCCACAGTAAGGAACTTAAAACATGAATTAATAACTCAAGGTTAATAAACATTTACTGAACATTTACTGTATGCCTAGGCATTATATTAGATGCTTTACATTCATTTTCTCTATTTAATTCCAACAGTCCCATGAAGTAAGTAGTATCATCCTTGTGCTACAGAGAAGAAAAAAGAGACTAAGAATATTGAGTAATTTGCCCAAGGTCAAAAAGCTGGTAAAAAGAATGAGGCCAGGATTCTAGAAAAGGTCTGTCAGACCTCCCAATGTCTAAGCTTTTATCCAATGAACTATCTTTTGACCAACAAAAAATGGATTTTCACATTGACTCTAATATTAGAAGAGTTTTTATTAATCAAATTATCGTTTTTAATTGGTAATAAATGGCAATTATTCACTAAGTATCTTTAATTTGGCAAAAATTGCATTGAAATGCATGATTCTTTCCACTTTAATCCCATACCAATTTATCTCTAAAATAAAACCAAAGTAAAATTTTCAAAATAAAATCTTTTACCTTTCCTATTGCTCAGGTTTTATATTTACAGGAGTTTACTATACATAGACTATACCAAAAGCAATGAATTCATACCAACACTGAGTGAAGAGAAAAATATATTATACTGAACTACTTTAAAACCTACCATTTTGCACAGAAGATGTACCTGAGTGAGGAGCTTTCTCTTGATTCTCCTTCTTGGCATCCATTGAATCTAAAAAATGAAAGAAAATATCAACACTGGAAGGCCATAGCAAAAGTCTAAAAGAGCTCTTAGAAAACCTATAAACTAGGGTGCCTGGGTGACTCAGTCAGGTGATTGTCTGACCCTTGGTTTGGCTCATGGGTCATGGAGTCGAGCCCTGCATCAGGCTCCATGCTCAGCAGAGAGTCTGCTTGAGATTCTCTCCCTCTGTCCCTCCCCCCACTCATGCTCACTCTCCTTTTCTCTCTAAAATAAATAAATTAATCTTAAAAAAAAAAAAGAAAACCTATAAACTAAAACTATTTTCTAATAGGACCCAGTTTTAATTTTATAATTAATATCCTTATTTTCTGCATAGGATTTCACTTTCTAACATACTGCATATCTTACAATTTGCTCATTTATTTTGTCTATTGTATGTCTCATTCCACTCAAATGTAAGCTCCAAAAGGGAGCTTATCCCCTTCTCTCCCCCTCTATAAAATTAAAAAAAAAAGAATTAACGTACCCTAGAAATAAACTGCATGCTTTTAAGAGTTTAAAACGTAAGGGGCGCCTGGGTGGCTCAGTTGGTTGGGCGACTGCCTTCGGCTCAGGTCGTGATCCTGGAGTCCCGGGATCGAGTCCCGCATCGGGCTCCCTGCTCAGCGGGGAGTCTGCTTCTCCCTCTGACCCTCCCCCCTCTCATGTGCTCTCTCTCTCTCATTCTCTCTCTCTCAAATAAATAAATAAAATCTTTAAAAAAAAAAAAGAGTTTAAAACGTAAGAGGGAAATTGGAATACATGTAATTCAATAGACAATGTAATAGGCAGAGATTTTTCTCTGTGCCAAGCTGAGGAGCTCCAATAACACCAGACCTTGTGACTTTACAAATCTAAGACATTATTTTGCCCATATATATATATATATATATACACACATATCTTAAAGGACTCATTTTTTAAAATTAATCATAATACTGTTATTATGCTGAAAAAATTAACCATAATTCCTTAATAACATCAAATAAGCAGTGTTCATATTTCCCCAAATGTCTTATTTTAAGTGTGTGAATCAGAACCCAAATAAAGTCCATATATAGCAATGGATAATAAGTGTCTTAAGTCTCTTTTGATACTTATAGTCTCCTCCTCCTCCTCTTTTTTCTCCGCCCCTTCCCGTGGAATTTTTTTTTGCTCATGATACCAGTTTAGTTTTAGTCTGGATTGTGCTGACTAGCTCCTATGGTGCTGGGTTCTTCTGGTCCTTATCTTTTCTCTAAATATAAGCTATTAGTGGGGCACCTGGGTGGCTCAGTCAGTTAAGCATCTGCCTTCGGCTCAGGTCATGATCCCAGGCTCCTGGGATCGAGCCCCACATCAGGCTTCTTGCTCAGCGGAGAGCCTGCTTCTCCCTCTCCCTCTGGCCTGCCACTCCCCCTGCTTGTGCTCTCTCTCTCTCTGACAAATAAATAAATAAAATCTTAAATAAATAAATAAAAGATATTAGTGTGTTGAGCTTAATCAGATTCGGGTCTGGCTTTTTTGAGGGGAGGAGAGAAGAAGGTGACTTCACAGGTGGTGTTGTGTACTTCTCACAAGAGGCTCCTAATATCTAGTTCTTTCTCTTTTTGTGATATGAACTGCCACAGATGGCTATTGCTTAGATCCATTAGTCCATTAGTGGTTACAAAATAGAGGTATTCTAACTTTATCATCCTGTCTTTATTAGCCAGAAAACTTGTATAGAAACCTCCCCTCTTCAATCATTCAATTACCTGAGGTACAAATCACATAGGAAAGTCACAAGCCAACACTTGATTCTTTTCCTTTACTTTTTTTTTTTTTTACCTTTACTTTCTAATTTTCAAAATAATGAGCTGGATCCCAAGCATTCTCCAGATAACCAGTTAGTTTTGTTCTGCTGTCCCATTATGAACTCATGAATTTTTTTTTAAAGATTTTATTTATTTAATTGACAGAGAGAGAGAGGGAACACAAGCAGGGGGAGTGGGAGAGGGAGAAGCAGGCTTCCCGCCGAGCAGGGAGCCCGATGCGGGGCTCGATCCCAGGACCCTGGGATCATGACCTGAGCCGAAGGCAGTCGCTTAACCAACTGAGTCACCCAGGCGCCCCTATGAACTCATGAATTTAACCATACTTAATGTGTTGCCAATCTAGCACTGTTTTACTCTTATTGATACCCAAATTGTCAAACTTCTCGAAGAAGGATCTATGAATGATACCAGGTATCATTTTAAGGTAACAATTTAAGGTAACAGATCTACTTTCTGGTTATGACTCAGTGCCTCTTCAAGATGTGTGAACATTTGAGCTGGATATATAAACTACTTTCTATTTAAATGATTTGACTAGTACAAAGAAAGTACATACATATTTATTAAATAGTTCTACAGTAAGATTTTCTAATAGGAAAGAAAGTAAAACTGTAAAGGCATGGCTCCTGCTCTAGAGAAGCTGAGAATCTAGTTACAGAGACTACACTAAACACTTGACAAAACTGGGAATAGCAGAGGACAACATTCAGCAGTCAGCCACAGAAAAGCTCCTAAGAGACACAGGACTTGAACTGGATTTGAAGGAAGAACATGATTTAGGATGGCAAAGGTGTGCAGGATGTATTATAAAAAAAAAATACAGTTGACCCCTGAGTAACATGGAAGTTAGGGGTACCCATCACCTTCAGTCGAAAATCCACAAATAACTTTTGACTCCCCAAAATCTTAAGTACTAATAATCCAGAAATGGTTCACTTGAGAGTTTTTTCAAATTGTCACAAATCTCCAAAAAATTTCCCAATATAAGAAAAAAATCCACATATAAGTGGACCCATGCAATTCAAACCCATCTTGTTCAAAGGTCAACTATACATTCAAAAGAGAGAGTGCAAATGAGTGTGGCATATTCAAGGCAAGGTGAGCAGGCTTCTCACTAAAGCAAGACAAGATGAAGCTTATTTATTTGTTTGTTTGCTTGTTTATGGGGATGCGCAAAGGGAGAGAGAGATTATCTTAAGCAGGTTCCATGCCCAGCACGGAACCCAACATGGAGCTTGATCTAATGACCCTGAGATCATGACCTGAGCCAAAATCAAGAGTCAGTCACTTAGCCAACTAAGCCACTCAGGCACCCCAGGATGAAGCATTTTTTAACCAATCATAATAGAGTTAGAAGATTTGGATTCTGATTTTAACTTTGTCACAGGTTGTTGTATGACCTGTTCATTTAAATTCCCCTGAGTGTCAGTTTTCTCACTTATAAAACTAGGAAGAAGGGGCGCCTGGGTGGCTCAGTCAGTTAAGTGTCTGCCTTTGGCTCAGGTCATGATCCCAGGGTCCTGGGATGGAGACCCGCATCATCGGGCTCCCTGCTCAGCGGGGGGCCTGCTTCTCCCTCTCCCTCTGCTGTTCTCCTGCTGTTCTCTTTCTCTCTGTCTCTCTGTCAAATGAATAAATAAAATCTTTAAAAAAAAAACTAGTAAGGAAAAACATAATGATCTTTAATAGCTATTCAGTTCTGAAATTCCAATTCTAAGCACCTAACATCTCCTATGACTTTATTTCTAAAAGGACTTTTTTTCAAAAGTTCAGTCTACTAGAAGGTACTCATCCCAAATGAATAACTAAAAATATCATCACGTTTAGGAAGTAAATCTTACCTTCGTTCACTGTTCGCCCCATGGTATTCTTTTCTGGTACTCTTTCCTACAAGGAGAAAGATCAATTAATGCCTCCTTTTAGCATTTTTCTGAAGGGCATTATTATTAGAAATCAGTTATAGATTTAGATGATTTTAATTTATTTCCCTTTAATAAAAATAAGTTCAGTAGATTAGTAGTTGGCAGGGGCTGGGGAAAGAGGGACTAGGGGAGCGACTACTAATGGGTGTGGGTAAGGGGTCTCTTTTTTGGGGTGATGAAAATATTCTGGAATTAAATAGTGGTGATAGTTATACAACCTTGTGAATACACTAAAAACAAATGAATTATAACACTATAAAAGGGTGAATTTTATGGTTAAATGAATTAAAAAGAGCAGATGGTAAATTGGTAGAGTTGGGATTCAATCTGAGGCCTATCCCAAAACCCACTTGAGCCCATATTATGGAGAGATGGAAGAATCATGACTGTGTTAGTAAAACTTGTAAGAACTCCAAGAGTCAAGTCTTCTAACAAGACAATTACTTGTTCAAAGACCTGTGTATTGTGAGCCATTAATTCATCCATTAATTCAAACTTTTCCTGCATGTCCTCAATATGCCAGGCAATCTACAACAAAGATAAATAATACACTGTCCTTGCCCTCCAACAGCTCCATCCAGTCAGAAACAGGCCTATGAATAAAAAACACAATATGAGTGCTATAGAAGAGGTATGTACACAGAAATATTTAATATGGCAATTGGATATCCATCTCCCATTACTCTGTGTGCCTGTGGTCAGAACATGATAATGTGTATAATGGAAGATAATTTGTTATTTAAAGAAGCCCATGGCGAACACATTCATTAAGCCACCCAGAATGCCTTCTGCATCTCTGACTCAACAGACTTAAACTCAAGCATCATCTCCTCAAAATTTGCTCCTTCTGACATTTTTGTTTCTCCTACCAACATACTACTCTTCCAGGTATTTGGGATTTAAAACCCCAGGTATGACTGAATGTGCGAAGTTCTCTTCTTTCACTCACACATTCAATCAGTAGCCAACATGCACTCTCTCATTTCTCTTTCCCCCGGCACTAACTGGTTTATATGCTCATTAGCTCCTGCCTGGTCTAATACCATAGTCGCCTAACTCATTTTGCCACAACGGTCTTTCCCCACCACAATCTACCCAATATCTGTCAGATATGGACTAAGCTGCTTTCTGCCCAAATCACCTACCTGCTTCAGTGATTTCACTGACTACTGAATTGAACAAAAAATCTTCTGCTGGGCCTATTTAAGGTCCCTCACAATTTCAAAGCCACCTGACATCTACCACCTACAGCTATACTGTGGCCTAGTTCAAAACTCATCATGTTGTTCTATATGCATGGGATACCCATTCTTCTGCTGCTTCTTGAAATCCTATCCATCCTTTAAGACCAAACATAAATCCCACCTCTTTCTTAAAGCCTTTCTTGTTCCTTTCTATATCACCACCATCTGTTTCCAGGTGTGATATAGTCATTTAACAAATATTTACAGAATTCCTTTTTGCTTGGTGCTATGTAGACAGAAGATACACAATCTACTACAAAAGACCTTGGAAATCTAGTGAGAGAGACTTATTAACAGACTAATTATCAAACAAAGAATAAAATACAAGCTCTATTAAGAGAGGTAAAAGTGGTGCTCTGTGCAAAGACAAAAACACAATTAACTGGGAATATAAAAGAAGCCTTTTCAAAAGAAGTGGCACTTGAACTGGTCCTTTAAAGATGAGTATTTCAATGAGCAGAGAAGAGAGGAATTTCAGGCTGAAGATACAAAATGAGTGGACACTGAAGAGGCTCCTGCCTCCTCTACTTGATTATGAAATGCTAGAGTTGCTCAGGTTCCTTCTGGGCTCTTATTTCCCTCTACAGTCTCGCAGGGCCCATGCCTACAGAAGCCACCCATACAGAGATGATTCACAAAGCACCACCTCCCCTTTTGAGACATCAGCCCTGAAAGTCAGATTGGAATAATCAAATGAATTAAATATTCAATACCACTCTGACTGAGGATGTTTTCAATTAAAGACCATAGCCAAGTGGCTAAAGAAAAAGACAAAGTGAGGGTGCCTGGGTGGCTCAGTCAGTTAAGCCTCTGCCTTCAGCTCAGGTCATGGTCCCAGGGTCCTGGGATGGAGCCCAGCATTGGGCTCCCTGCTCAGTGGGAAGCCTGCTTCTCCCTCTCCATTTGCCCCCCACCCCGCTCGTGCTCTCTCTCTATATCTCAAATAAATAAAATCTTAAAAAAATAAATTTAAAAAGAAAAGAAAAAGACAAAGTGAAATATATAGAGGGTGCTGAATCCAAACAGAAAGTAAAGGGAGATGAGCTGTAATCCAGGTAGGGAGTGAAGGCACTTACCAACTCTAATCAGAGAGCAAAGAGTTGTGAATTACATTAAAATAAGTGCCTCTACTACACAAAGGGGCTCAGTTGAAAAACTGAGGGATGGGTCACACATAGAGGGTATACCCAGGTTCCTATGCCCTTCCTTCAAATCTCTAAACTATAACTGAATTCTTGATCTCAACTGTTACCACTTGCTCCCATTAGTTGGGTAAGTAATCTTATAATCCTAGGAGGTGAAGATATATGTATAGAGATGATTAAAAGTAAATCTTTGAAGACCTAAATAAGTAAATCCATGTACCATGCACACAAGTTGGAAGATTTCTTAAATAGGCATAAAATTGCACAAGCCATAAAAGAAAATATTAATAAACTGGATTTAATAATTTATCCAAAGGCAATATTTAATGAAGATAGAGTGGTACTGGCATAACAACTGACATACTGACCAATGGAACAGAATAAAATCCCCAAAAGATACATATATATATATATATGGTGAATAGATTTTCTTTTCTTTTTTTTTTTTATTTGACAGAGAGACAGAGAGAGAGCACAAGTAGGCAGAGCGGCAGGCAGAGGGAGAGGGAGAAGCAGGCTCTCCACTGAGCAAGGAGCCATGGGCTTGATCCCAGGACCCTGGGATCATGACCTGAGCCGAAGGCAGCTGCCCAACAACTGAGCCACCCAGGCACCCTGTGAATAGATTTTCAACACAAGTGCCAAGGTAATTTAATGGAGAAAGGATAGTTTTGGGGTTTTTTTCTTTTTCCGACAAATAGTACTAGAACATCTCCATGTACCAAAAAAAGAAAAAAAGAAAAACAACACTTATCTCAGAAGTTAATACACAAAAATTACCTCAAAAGAAGATCATAAATTTAATGTAAAGCCTGCAACTATAAAATTTCTAGAAGAAAACACAGAGACCGGGTGCCTGGGTGGCTCAGTTGGTTAAGCGACTGCCTTCGGCTCAGGTCATGATCCTGGAGTCCCGGGATCGAGTCCCACATCGGGCTCCCTGCTCGGCGGGGAGTCTGCTTCTCCCTCTGACCCTCCTCCCTCTCATGCGCTCTCTCTCTCTCTCATTCTCTCAAATAAATAAAATATTTAAAAAAAACAAAAAAAACAAAAAAACACAGAGACCTTGTGACTCTAAATTAAGCTACGACTTCTAAATATGACACAAAGAAGCACAACACATCAGAGAAAAAACTGATACACTGGACTTTATCAAAACTAACAACCGCTCTTCAAATGATACTGTTAAGAAAAGGATAAGCCACAGAATAGGAGAAAATACTTGCAAAATATGTATCTGATAAAAGATCTGCATCCAGAATATATAAAGAACTCTTACAACTCAATTTTTAAAAGGCAAACAGCCCAATAAAAACATAACTGGCAAAAGATTTGGACGATCACTTTGCTAAAGAAGATACACAAATGGCCTGTTAAGCATGTGAAAAGATGTTCAACATCATTAGTATTTGGGGAAGCACAAATTAAAACCACAATGAGATACGACTCCATAAAATAGCTAAAATTAAAAACTGACAGTACCAAACGTTGATGAAGATACGGAACAATTAGAACTCTCATATGCTGCTGGTGGGTATAAAACAATTTTTTAAAAGATTTTATTTATTTGAGAGAGAGTAAAAGAGACAGCAAGCGAGCATGAGTGGAGAGGGGCCAAGGGAGAGGGAGAAACAAGTTCCCAGCTGAGTGCAGAGCCCAACGTGGGGCTCAATCCCGGGACTCCAGGATCATGACCTGAGCCACTCAGGTGCCCCTAAAATAAGTATTTCTATAAAAAAGAACTTTCTTAGAGTTAAATGCAATGCAAATATTCTTAACTTCAAAACCAATGCTTTGGAATCCAAACCACTTATTTTAAAGGTAGAACCACAGACCAAGGAATAAAATAAATACTATCTATCCCCAGATAAAGACAGGAAGAATTCCAGATCCCTTTCGTTTGAGATTAGGCATATTAGATAAGATCAACTCTTTCAGAGTTTGGAAACTTTTCCTTTTCAATTATCATAGTCACTCAGCACCAGTGCGCAGATGTATCTCTTGTGAATTCCAAAGTCATGCCAAATAAAGCCTTCAATACACAAAAAGAACTCAAACTGTTTATGAGTGCATGAGTCAGTGACTCAATAAGCTTTCCCTTTCAGCCCTCATGGTGTTAAAGTGCAGTGAGTTGTTTGAAGACACCATTCAGACTCTTAACTATAGAGAATAAACTGAAGGTTACCAGAGGGGAGGTGGGTAGGGGCAATGGGTGAAATAGGTGATGGGGATTAAGGAGTGCACTTGTCATGATGAGCACTGAGTGATATATGGAACTGTTGAATCACTATAAAATATTTGTTTTCAAATATTCTGAAATTCATATATTTCCTTGATTCGTTTTTCTCTCCTAACTCTCCCCAATATTTCTACTATCGAAGGTTTATATTTGACATATGCAAATGTGTAAATTCTTTTTTCTTTTTCTTTTTTGGGGGGTGCCTGGGTGGCTCAGTCGATTAAGCATCTGCCTTCGGCTCAGGTCATGATCCCAGAGTCCTGGGACCGAGCCCTGTGGTGGGGGGCCCTGCTCAGCGGAGAGTCTGCTTCTC